GCAATTTTTTACGGCAACAATTTCAATTTTAAGGCTGCCTTTCAGGCTGGAGGGCTCCCTTCTACACACTCCTCTGTAATACTGCTTCGACAATCGACACTCTCACTGGCCCACCCACCCACTCTCTCTCTCTCTCACACACACTATAATTATGTCCTTCGCTTGGGAATTGGTGTTTGTTAGTTTCATTGTCACAGGTTGGTTGATTTCATCTGATTAAGTTACATCTGGTTCCAATGGACAGGTAGCTGTGGCCACCGCAATGTCTCTTGCCCTTGAAAGGTGTTTACTTCAGAAAGAAGAAAGACAACAAATAGCTTCATTTCTCTGCCAGTTACATAAGCTTTTGTTCATTTTTCAACTGCAGGGGTTTCTCTGATGCAATTTTCGGTTTAGCAGTTGTTTATGCTGGCCTTATCATGTATGACGCCCAGGTGTGCATATGACCTTGGTCTGTGTTAATAATCTCATATCCTGATATTGATCTGCTACTTTCTGTTTCAACTGTTGTACTCACAAATCACAATTACAATGCTTATGTCATAGCAGCTGACAAGTCACCTGGAGTTTAAGTTTGACGTAGTTGTCTGCCTATCAAATTTTTACTGCATATTTAATTAAGTTTATGGATCACTTCCTTGCCTGCCATGCATTCTTGATTTCTTATTCAAAGAGAATCAAGTACTAAAGCATGTGCTATTGGTCTATTACTGACAAAGCGTGATTTTGACTAGTGGTGACTGGTGAACAATCCTATTTATTACAATAAAAGATCTGAAAAAAAATCAGAAATCTATGGATTTGTGTGCATCCGCTTTGTAATTAACATTAATTACTTTTGGCATGTGATTATATAAATTTGCCAGATATGATGGTAAATCCTTGTCTCTCACGCCAGCATGGGGTATAGTACTCTCTACAACCGGCTGTCCTTCAAGAACTTTTCAAAGTGTCCCTTAGTTTGAATTATTGTGGATGCCCCAACTTCGACAAGAGTTATAGATAGCACTTGAATTCAAAAGAGATCTACTTCTCTTGAGATGATTTGTTTCAATAATTGCTGCATCATTTGCAATTTTGGATCCATGTTTGTGTAAAGCTTGACAACATGCCTAACATTTCCTTCATTTTTTTGTTTCATAGTAGGATACAATAACTAAACAAAGTATAAGACGAATCTTGTGATATCCGTGATGCACATCCAAATGAACATCTTAGAATAAGGAATTCCCGTTTGTACGATCATAGTTATTACATAACTCACGTTACTAAGTATAAGACGAATTTATCCATTGTGGAAATATGCGTATTTGAGGTGTATCTAACAAGTATTTAACAATGATAAATATATTTTATTAATTATTCAATATGTACGAAAAGTATCTGATATGTATCCGTGCATATCCGACAAGGGCTACTGAAGAGTAGATACTAGGTGATTGAGGAGGCTCAAAGTCAAAAGTAATAGACACCACTGGATTTCGTGTCCCGTATCAATATTCCTCTTCATCTTGAGATCCTGAAAGACAAAATGGGGGATAAAATGGTTATTGAATAGTTAAGAGATAGACTAATCTTACTGATAGATGACAAACTAAAGGAGAATTGAAGAACAAGTAAGTCTAAAGACAATGATAGAGAAGGACTAACTTGCATATTACCTAAGCCGGAAACTAGTGATAAGGACCTATTGGAAAGAGTAACACTACGAGATTGGGCTACAGTGTGAAAGTGAGATAAGTAACAAGAAGAACTAGTCATATGATTTGAAGCTCCAGAATCAATGATCAATGGGTTGGAAGTAGAAGACAATAAACAAGTAAATATAGTACCTAACTGAGTAAAAGTAGTAGTGGAGGATGTCATGGCCTGCTTCTGTGACATGAATTGAGCATACTCATCTCGTAAGATAGTAATAAGTTTACTGGGCTAGAGGACAAAACATCGTCATAAGAAGATACTTGATGAGCTAAAATTGGTTGTTTACCATACAAACCCCAGTAATAATCCACTATGTGATTGTACAACCACTATGAGTGCGTTTACGAGTGTCGCAACCTCCTCTACCACCACGTCCTCTGCGAGAATTACCAGATCCACTACGCATATCACGACTTCCATGAGAATCACCAAATCCATTTTGGGCGGCAACGAAAGTTGACCGATCACTAATATGATTAGTAATGAATGGTGAGCTATGATTTGTCAAAGTAGCACGGAGCTATGATCTGCCAAAGTAGCATGCTAAAGGCATGAAAATACGTATGTAAGAGGGAGAAGCTTAGGGATGCCCGAAATCTGTGCACGAATAGGCTCATACTTTGGTCGCAACCCAATCAAAAAGCTAGCAACATTATTTCATCACACTATTGTTCCATCTTTGAAACATCAGAAGAGATAGGTTGATACAACTTACATTCTTCACAAATTCCCATGACCTTAGAAAATTACTCCTCAAGAGTCAAGGGGCCCTGTTCAAGATTAAAATACTTCCTACACAACTCATAAGGGCATGTAATATTGCCAATGTCAAAATACATGTGAGTTAACCGATCCCAAATCTCCTTAGCAGTGTCTAGATAAAGTAAATATGAACTAATGGGAGACTCATTACTAGTCAACAAGGGTGAAATAATCTGGGCAACTTCCGGTTCCTATTGAGCAAAATCAGAATCACTATCTTTAGGTTTATCTTCCACCACCACCACGTCCACTCCCACCACCACCACCACGTCCACCTCGCCACCACCACCACATTTTTGTTTTCATTGTTTACAAGGATACTGTCCAACAAGGATACTGTCCAACGAAGTTTTAATATTTTATATTCCGTAGAACTATTTTTTGAATCATATAACCAAACAAATTCTACGTCACAAAAAACACCACAAATAATGTTCTAAAACTCTTCCCAAAAATATTTTTCGGATACTGTTTTTTGATAGGCAAATCAAACAGGACCTGAAATTCTGACCTGTGTAATCAAAATCAGAATAAGGAGACCTCGAAAAGATTTAAAATTTACAACTAGTTTAGGTGTAAATAAGTGATTAGCTCTTTTGGCGCTGTAGTAATTTTGCTCACTTCATTTGCTGTTGCAGGGAGTCAGGAGGGAAGTAGGCACCCATGCAAAAGCATTAAACAGCCTTTTGCTGAAGACTCGGCTGGACTCACTACCCTCTGGTGTGGCTGATGATTTGATTGATTCATCACCAGGGACAGCATCCTCAAATGTTGCGAGCCTTGACCCTCTATTCTTGGAGGAACCAGGTTCTTTTGGGCCAAAACCAACCAATGCTTCTCTACTGCTTGAGTCTGATAACAGAAAGAGTCGAAGTGCTCCAATGTCGGTCTCAACTAGCTTTGCTACTGATGTTGAAGGAGAATCAAAGGTGGTCACTCATTGTCAGGTTCCACTAAAAGAATCAGTGGGACATACAGAGATTGAAGTAATTGCAGGTGCATTGTTGGGTCTCTCTGTTAGCTTGGCTGTCTATAAAAAGTCATTTCTTTTTTGAACTGTTCTTTTAATATCTGGCGTTAAGCATACATGAATAAATATGAAATTAGAAATATATTTTTGAGGTGAGGAGTGACCTAGAGGTAAGGGCTCACTCTGGTTCACAAATGATTGCAAGCTCCAATATCATCCCTTCCCTTTCCCCTTCCCCCCAAAAAGAAGATAAATATAGAATTTGATCCTTTAAAATTTGAATTCTGAAGGAGCATATGTGCTAGTTATGCAAGGTTCATCATTACGGTAGGAGATTCATGGATCCTTGATTTAGTTTTCCACAAGGTGTCTTAGTTAGTTCGGTTAGCATTAATAATGAATGAGTAATGCTATAGGAACTTAGTTTAGGGATCTAATTGGAGACCTAATTTAATGCAATAATTGGATTAATTGTGAATTTTAATATTAAATTAGGATCTTCTCTTTTTTCTATCTATCTCGTGAAGGGGGACACCTTCATTCCCCAGAATAATCTCCGGTGGCCCTCTTGGCCAGTTCCCTAACGGATTTTGTTCATGGCGCCTTATTCTACTAATGCAACAACGGCATCCACCACCGAATTTTTCTTAGCTAGCATTAGACAGTCCCTTTGCAGTGGTCATTATGTTTCTCCTACACTTCTTTATTTTGGGTTTAATGTGTTATATTTGATATTTTGATGTGGATGGGATTTAGCTTGAAGTATTATCTCAAGCCTTTTACTTCCCTCGAAATTATGCTATTATAGCCAATTTTTTTATTTGGTTAGCTTGATGTAGTGTGATATATACAATGGGTTATACCTACATATTTAGGGCATATCCCTTACTTGGATGACAAAAGTCATTTCAATCGACAAATTCATTTAATTTCAGAAAAAAAAAAAGGACGTGTAGAGTTGTGAGTAAGTATTTTATGCAGTACTAGAAAAAGTAGCACAAGAAGCAGTGTCTTGTCTAACTCCTTATCTAACTCCATTGTGCTTCTTGAGCTAGACTAAGTGCGATTAGCCTACCTCTTACATTGACACTCTTTTTTTTTTTTATTTGGTTACAACAGGACCACTGTATTTACCTCATGGCCTTTTTTGTTCAGAAATGTTCACTGGGAATGGCCTATGTTGTGTTTTTGTTATAAGATAATTTTAACAAGGACGATAACGTGTAGCGAGCAGAATCGACATTCTGGAAAATAAAGATATCCTTCATGTCATGATCCACCAAGAGATACCAGCAGTAATCGTTGGCCCTTGTCTGTACACATTTTGATAACCAGTTAAACATTTCTTAGTTAGCATCGATAAGAATTCGACTTAGTACCCGAAATACTAGAGAGCCTTCAGAACTGAGAGAAAAATTAACTACGTAATGTACAGGCGCACAGCTGGAGACAGTGAAATATGAAGTTTGTAGGGTTACAACTCCACTTGGAGAACTTCAAACTGTCTGTTTCATGGCCAAGGTAAAGGAGGTACTGGACTGGAAATCTCTCAACTGAAGGAACGACATCAACAGCGTGGGACCGACCAAGGATTGCATTTACCCTGAAACTGGACTTGATGGGATGCTAGAAGCTTGTCTAAGAATGACCAATCGCCAGTACTAAACCTTTCCTGTTGAACAAGACCTCCACAACTGCCTGATGCCAACCTCAACAAGTCCTGAGAAAACTCCATGTCCGTGAGGTTCAAGGACGGATGAACAGCTGACTCAGGAGGAGTCAGTAACTGTGGCAGATATATGGACCCATGCCCATCAAAGGTGCAACCATATACTCCTTGCAAACTCTGTTTCGGCTCCAATATTAATAGATCAGTGGAACTACTTGTCTTGATGTGAGCCAAGTTTTGTTCTGGAGCATCTTTAGGTTGGGAAGCTCAACTATGATTGTTCTTCTCGAATACCCTGCAGACGACCCATCCATCTTCCTGCTTAAATGGTGAACAGAACAACCCATTAAACGGCCGGGCATGCAATAGTAGAGAAACAAGATGACTGATAAGGGTTGAATTATGAAATAAATTAAATATATCAATGAGTTACTGCTTAAAAGTGTATGCCAAACCTCGGCATTGTCATCGTCCAGGCGATACTCGTGCATTATCCAATCCGTCTTTTGGCCATGAGGGGCACGTCCCGTGTAAAAGACAAGAGTTTTTCTCATACCAATCCTCTTTGAATTGCTTTGGTGAATGGCTTTGTCCCTCCCAGTCGCCTTCCAGAAACCAGCTGTGGTGGCCCGATTTGTCCGAGTTCCAGTTGGATACTTTTTGTCTCTGTGGCTGAAAAAATACCACTCGTTCTGAGGCCCGCCTGACTCAATATTCCTGCATTTGTCTGCATGTCACACAAAACTACTTTAGCATTCTATTCTTCAGATATGGTAGTGGTAGCTCTGCGTGAAAAATAGGGATTGGATGCAACTCTCAAATACAGCTTCTTCAAGGTTTCTGGTCCTTGTGGCCTCCTAATAGATCGGAGTGACTTGTAGTACTTAACGGACTTCTTCATTTTTATTCGACTGTATTTAGGTACATGGTTTACCATAACACACACCAAGTCAATATCACATGATATAGAGACTGAGTGAGAACAAATCAGTTTGCTTGTTGGGCTCATCCTTGTTCGGAATTGCACCCGATCGCTTTTGTGTCCAATCCAATACAGATGACCTTGTTCCCACGCAAACCCCACTCATTTAATTTCCAACAACAAGCTTATCACCTTAGACTTAGAGAATCCAAGAAGAGCAAGGTCTTTCTACTCTACCAGCTGTGCAGATTTTACAGTTACATACCTAGGCCTAGCTAGCAGATTTTATCCAAAGCATAGGTGTTTCGTTAGCATAATTTTGTCAAAACATTATGCAAGAGAAGGTCCAACAACAAAGAGAAAGAGGAAGGAGTAGCCTGACTTTTGAGGTCCCAAGGCTCAAGTTTGTTGATATCCACTTCCCTTATAACGTCAAGGTCGATGGCTTCATAGGATACCTTCTTCCTCAGGTAATAATAAAGTAACTCCTCGTCCGTGGGATGGAATCGAAAGCCAGGTGGAACAGATAGCTGGCCGTTTCCATTCATCATCTTCAATGGCAATTAATCTTCTGTTAACCTGCACAAGTGTAGGTCAATGCTAATTAATAATATGGTGACGACCCGAAAGTCAAGAGCCAAGGCTCTTAGAGTCTTGAAGTCAATATGGAAAAGGTGAAATGAGGTATGAGACAAAGTATTCCAAAGCATGAACTTATTCAAAATAGACAATATTATACAATACGGGTCATTTAGCTGTGTGGTATGAAGCCATAGAATATGTGCCCCCTATTCTTGATGGCAGTTAGCGGTGCAGGAGACATCATCTAGAATTCCATGCCGTTTAGATCTGAAAATCCGAGACAGGTCCACATAAGAGCATGTAACCCGAAGAGGGTGACTTGTGGTGACTCAAATACAAGAGCAAATACGGTAGTCTTCTCCGAAAAATGAAAGTGTAGAAAAGGCATAAACGCAGCACTTTATAGGGAATTAGTGAACAGTTCATTCAGTAATGCTATTTGGACCAGCTCATATATATCATCTTAAAGCGAAGGCAAAAATATGAGAGAGAGAGAGAGAGGGGGGGGGGGGGGGGAGTAGAAGAAGAAGAAGATAGGTGACTGACCTCCGCTAAGGAAATGTTTCCCTGTGAGTGACAACTGACAACGAGAAAAGACCACCGAAACGAGAAGTATAGGCAGCAGGGTGGCCAATATCTGCGCTTAAGGAGCACACAAAGTGAGGTTTTAAAAGAGAAAGAGGGATGTACTGGTTCAGTGCCAAGGGTACGACTCGAGGAGAACGGGAACAGAAATAAAGGAAAATATTATCAAAATGGCAAATCTAGCGAAGTAGCGAGTAATAGGTGATATACACCATTTAACACTATCATGTGTTAAACTACAAAAATTTCTCATACTATTAGTTTGTAATAGGACGTCACGTCTATTCTTCTTTTATGTTTAGTCTTTTGAAAAATGTCCGGTAATAGGAAACCCCATCCCAAATTTGGCCGCATATGGATGGAGAAAATTGCACAACTATCAAAAAAAAAAAAATATATATATATATATATATATACTTCTTTTATCACAACTATAATTTTTCCACCTAAATTGTTTCCTAATCGTAGGAGATAGCTTCTATTCTCCAAAATTAATTGCTACCCTTTGACACAGCCCTAAACCACCATAGATTCAACCAATCAGAAAGGGAAAAACCCCCCCGTCCAACATAAACTATCTTCACTTGATCACCATCCAGAAAATTGACCAAGCTCAATTGAGGCTAGCTAGAGTGCAAATCAATATCAACTTCAGGGTAAAATTATATATGTTGTTATCTCGGAGGCGGAGATTAGTTAGACAAATTATAACACGCATTTAAATTAGGTCTCATTGGATTGGATGTCCGAACATGAATGAACGCAGCTGCCCCTCCATGGCGGCTATAATTCTGAATCCGGATTTGTAGATTACAAAACGCTCAGAGAATGAAATTAAAAATGTGCTGGTGGCAGTGGTGCTCGATGAGCATAAATGAGAAAGCAGATTCCTGGAAGTCCATAAGATTTAGATGTGCTGATCCAACAAATTAAGAGTACAAAATCCAAGGCCTCGTTTACATTATACTAAAGGAATAGGATATAACAAAGCTGGACGGACGGCATAAGGGATTCCTACGCAATCTCTCCCCCCACTCCCGTTCCCATGCATGTGCAGTGCATACCTACCTGTTTAAGTGTATAACACCCCCCCGGGGGGGGGGGGGGGGGGGGGGGGTTAACATATCTGATTGGATTGCTGGTCAAACACGAAGGCTAAACACAGCTATTGTACAGATTTTTACCTCCATGCAATTTCACCAAATCTCAACGCCAGACGAGTATTATTATTATTATTATATAGCAGTAGCAGCACAAGTGATGCCGTTGCCTTCACGAACACTGCACGATGGTTGGAGAAATCATTTACTTTCTACCTTTAACCAAGAAGACACCCTCCATTATTGCATCACATTACAGAACATACATTTCAAAGATCCCATAGAACTCCTATGTAATGAAAGTATCAGTGCTATGTTTATTACACTTATAACTCTCCCACTCAAGTAAGGGAATGTATATCAAATAAGCCCACCTATGACCAAATAATCTTTAGACGGTAACTACCTAATGCCTTAGTAAAAATGATGATCGATTGACCCTCAAATTTTATAAATCAAATATAATAATGATAGATTTAAACTTAAGCCGTCCATTCAAAACCCAAAACGTCCGGCCCCCTTTTTAAATGACAACCTAAACGGTCCACCTACAGCACGACAAAGTGGACTAGCTGGAGAACTAAGAGCTCGGTAAATGAATAATCTCAAGCAGCTCCAGTTACACCACGTGTTCAGAGAACTGAGAGACAACTTTTAAAAAACAAATATTCCCTAGTAAAATGAATATTTGTATACATTCTGTTTTGAGGATCGTTAATACAAAGTGCATCAAAATGGCAAACCCACTATTGAACAAATAAAAAAAGGATCACAGAATTAGCTAAGAAAATGAAGAATCGTAAAAAAATCCTAAATAACCACATTAGCTCATTTAAATTAAATTTTAACTTTTAATCACAATAACTCACTTAAATTTTAACTTTTAATCACAATAACTCACTTAAATTTTAACTTTTTAACCATAGTAACTCGACCCATACATTAAAACAAATTGTACAAAGAACAGGCCACGACTAGTAAAATAAATACAATTAATCATACTGTGCTCGAGGTACGCAAGGTGTCACACTGATTCTCTCATGAATGTATTCATAGATATAGGAATCACATCAATTGAATTCAAAAAGAAGACACCCAACTCCTTTTGTCTTCGTATCCCTGCTCCAAAACAGCCACCCTTGACAAGCACAGGTAGCAAACCGTGCAATTTTGCATCCAAGGCATCTAGAACTACTGATTTGACAAGTTATACATGGTGGTGTCTTGATTGATGATCTCAATGTTCCAATTGCACCGCGTGTTGTTAGGATCTATTGCAGATATTCGTAAGATCCGGTTGTGGTATCTACAAAGGGAACTCCGATGGCCAACGCTCATATATGTGATCCCTGCAGCTTCAATCTGCCGATACAAATAAGCCTGAAGGCACAAAGATGACTATAAGAAAGGAAAAAAAAATTTGAAGAGGCGTTTTGTCATTTAACTTTATTTGACCAATAGTGATCTTCAGAAAAGCAACAATCCAGGTAAAGATCGAAAAAAGGTGTGATTCTTCAGAATCAATGGCCACCGTTCTTGGTAGGACCATTTGATCAGAAAACTATCAATATGTCACCTAACACCTGGCACCAAATGTGTGGAGTTAAGAGATCATTCCCCCTGAAAACAAAAACTGCCAGTTTGTAACCAAGAAAAGAATGGATAAACTGAGTCAGTTTTCTCAAGGTTGTGTTCTCTTCCCATTGTTAACAAAAATTTGAATCCAAAACTTCAACTCTTTCAAATACTGAGAACTGCTTTGGCTAACTATCATGTAGTAGATTTATGGGGTGAGAGTTCCACAGCCAGAGTACATTAACACAACTCCACAGATCTGAGCACAAACAGTAATATATTAAGGTATAATACTTAAGTGGAGAGACATTACCAATATGGTGATGTAACACTAAATTTAGATATATTTAAAATTTAGATAACTAAATATATATGGATGAAAATTATTTAAAGAAGGTATTCCTATGGAAATATTTTTTGCTGTGCAAATTTAAAAACCTTCGAATTTTAACGTAAATCATGTCTTTTACAATTCATATTGTGATGATTCAACCATGCGCATTGCCCCTGTAAAAGTAGCTCAATTTTCTATCCAAATGTTGGAAATATATATGTTAATCTGACAACTATGATGCAGTCCCAGTACAGATGGACAACAAAGGTATGGTAGATGTGTTTGTCAATGGCCATGCTTAGTCATGTAACATGCACAACAGAATATAGAATACGATAAAACATTCAATCTTATATACCTCATTGGCTTCATCTAAAGCACTGGTGGACTCATCCAATAGAACTAAGCATGGCTTGGAAAGCAGCAGGCGTGCAAATGCAAGTCGTTGCTGCTCACCAAGAGAAAGAACACTAGACCACTCATATGTATTATCCAGACCACAAAACTGAGATAATAAGTAGCCAAGGTTAACATCTTCTAAAACTTGGATTAGCTCATCTGTTGTGGGCTTCCGAGGCATAACACTTCCATATTCTGTCTTTGGTACACTCATCAGGAAAGGCAGTGAACCTGTAAAATAGATTTAGCAGCAATATCAACTCCAGAGCTTACAACATCAGTCAGATCAAATGGGAAAAGTACATATACCTGTATTTACCATTGCATGGGAGTAGAAGAATAATAATGACAAAATTTTCGGATTAAAAGTAAAGACTGAAATTGCTGCAATGGCGAAGTTAAGCAACACCTGACATGTAGCGATATGGTGTCTTGGAAAGATATAACTCAGATAAGTGATTATACACTAAAAGAGCTGGTTACTGTTAATAGATGATCCACCTCCGGTTAATTTGCAGGGGATAAAAGAGTCCAACGGTGACCATGTTAACTACAGAATCCAAGAGTGGTGTTAATGGCAATTGTAACAGGCAACATAGACAAGCATCAGTAGGATTTGTGATCCTGCTCACCACAGAGAGGTCACTAACAATTGCAGAAGCCTTTCACTGAAAGAACAATTTTGGACTTGCATTGGGATGACCTGAACCGACCCAATTACAGCAACCTCATGAAAGGAGGTTATGCTTACTTTAGGGGTGAACTGCTCTAAGAGTCACACAGAATAGAAATAGAGGCAACACACCCTCTAGAGATGGACATGCAGTGTCAGTAAACACAAACAACCATTTCATGATGCAGGAGCAGGACAACCAGTAATATTAGTACTTCAGTAAAGTAAGTGATCTAGGTTTATGTAGACACTGATAGCAATAATGGGTAATTGCCTGGGTAAGGAATTTGGAAGGAAATTTTGGGTTTTAGGGTTTAGTTCAACTGATTAAAGCCTGATTATATAACAAATCAGTAAATAACTTTGCTCTCGTTTATCAGATGAACTTGAATGAAAGAAGCAGAATAATTAAAAAGCAGCTGAAAACTAAAAAGTCAGAGAAGAACCGGTAAAATAAGAAAGACAGAAGAGGAAGAAGGAAGACAATCCAACGTAGCATAGCTGCAATTTTTATTATATCATTCTAGTTGTTTTTTTTTTTTTTTGAGCAATATCATTGTAGTTCAAAAGAGAATGTTACAAGCCTTTGTATAAACTTTAAAAGCAAATCATAATAAATCCTACGACTAGAGTCGGAATTAGTCTCAGATAAAAACAAAATTAACCAAATTTTGATCACAACCACAGTACCATGAACAGTACCACGACACAGTAGCATGAATAGTACTTTGTTGCTATAGTATATACAAAAATTGATATATTTTTAGAAGTAAAAATTACATTAACGAACCTTACTAATTATGTCCAAAAACAAAAATCACATACCAACATTAATATACACGGACACATGTTAGGTCCAAATAATCTCTTGAATGGAGTAAAACACCTAGCTTTGGATTGCAACTTCTGGATAGGATAGCTCTTCTTTACCCAAGCTATAGCTTCCCACCATTTATTCAGTTATTTATCCACTTATCTCCATACTCCGGCCTACGTCGATCAATCCGAGAACAAAATTAAACTATTAGAGCATCCAACCCAAAATCAATTCTAAACAGTGATTACTTTGCTTCCCAAATGCGGAAGTGTTCTCATCCAAACAACATGCAACTCAACAATGCCAAAAAATAAAAGAAATATAGGAACCCTTTCTGACAATTATTTCTGGGAACTGTGTAATTAATTCTATATTTTACATGATTTTTTCTCATGTTTTTTAAATGATTATTTGCATACCTCTACTTCTGTATTTTGCAAGGCTTGAAATGAATGCAACAATTTACTTTGAGAGAAGAATGTGTTACTTGCCTATTGTTTTACTTTCTAGTATGTTACAGATGACATTTCAAGGTTTTAGGTTTTTAGTATTTAAAATGAAGATGAGACAAGAGAGGAGAAAGAGAAGAGAACGATTATAAAATAGTGTTAAGGATAATAAAAATGACCTAATCTCTCCTCCGTCACCCATATTTATATTAATTCATAATAAGTTGCAAATTATAATAATACCCTTAATTAAAATAACTTGACATTCTACACTTTCCCTCAAGTTGGAGTATAGATACTTTTCATATCTAACTTGCATACACCTGAATGAAAAATTATACTACTAAGCCTATCAATAAACACATAATTGTTCCTTAAATGTTACAAAGGACATACAAATCAACCCAGCATTCAACTTCTCTTTAATAAAGTACCTGTCAATCTCAACATGCTTTATTCTGTTATGTTGACCTGAGTTATGAGCAATATTTATAGCAGCTTTAGTATCACAATATAGATGCATAGATAACCAGTAGAGAAACTAAAGTCTTCTATTAAGGTTTTCAACCACACAAACTTACAAATACCATGAGTCATAGCCATGTATCCTGGCTCCGTACTGGATCTAACCACCTCCACTTGCGTATTGCTCCTCCAAGTAACTAGATTTCCTCTAACAAAGGTATAATAGCTTGTAGTGGATCTCCTATCATCAATTGAGTCTGCCCAGCATGTGTGAAAGCTTCTAATCTCAGATAATCCTATTTTGAGAAAAAAATTCATTTATGTGGAGATGATTTGAGTTTCTTCAATATACAATGAGTTGCTTCTTGATGAGGGACACCGGAGGAATGCATGAATTGGTTAACAACACTAATTGCATATGCTATGTCTAGGAGTATGTGAGAAAGGTATATGAGTCTCTCAACAAGTTTTTGATATCTTTCTCTATCAATTAGATCACCTTAATTACTTCTTAGTGGTTTGTCTCAATAGGTGAGTCTGCAGGTCTACAACCTACCATGCTGGTTTCCTTCAGAAGATCAAAGATATACTTCTTTTGTGAGATGAAAATATCTTTTTTTTTTATATTTTGGCCACTTCAATCCCTAAGAAATAGTGTAAACACCCCAAATTCTTGATCTCGAATTCTTTAACAAGATGGACCTTCAGTTTGGACACTTCCTCGACATCATCACCTATAAGTATTATGTCATCAACATATACTATAAGAACTAATATCTTACCACTCCCTTGTTTGATGAATATCGTGTGATCTGCATAACTTTGCTCTTAATTTGATCATTACCTCATGAAATCAGTCAAACCAAGCTCTAAGAGACTGTTTTAGTCCATAAAGAGATTTCAAAAACCCGGAGGAATGTACATGCATTCTTTACATTTAATTGTTATAGATTTCCATCCTAGGTTGGGAGCATAAGAAAGAATGACACGAATGAAATTCATCTAGCTAGAAGGGCAAATGTCTCCTGATAGTCTATGCCAAATATCTGAGAAAACCCTAAACCACTAGTCTTTGCTTTGTATCTATCAACTGTATCATCTACATTCTGTTTGATAGTGAACACCCACTTACAACCTACTAATTTCTTCCCGGCGGGGAGAACATAAGCTCCCAAGAGACAGAAACTGTAAAACCCGAAAAAAATATATATATATATTATTAATCCTAATAAAAATAAAAGGGTAAAATAATAATTAATTGTTAAATTATGGGTCAAAAACATAAATTTCAAAAAAAAAAAATATAATAATAATATTATATAAGTGGAAGGCGACTTTGTCTTCCACTTTTTGGGTGTTCTACAGCCGGTGAGAAAGAGAGAGTGAGAAAAAAAAAAAAAGAGAGTTTTTATTTTTTTTTCTCTTTTCTTCCTTCTCAGATCTAGGAAAATTTAACCGTTTAATCGCTTCGGGCCAAGAACTAAAGTTGCTCTACTCAGCGAGAGCTACGCAACCACACCAAAGATCGTATTTTTCTTCGAAGGTATATCAAAGCCGATAATCTAGACCTAAAACTTAGGAAGCTAAATTTGGGCTTCCTTGGCGTTCTTGTAAGTGGTCTCACGCTACGAGAGGTAGGGTTTCCCCTATTTAGATTTAATTTCAACTTAAAATATGACATATGGAATGAGTAGATTATGAGTGTATATCACATGTTAGGTCTTGACTAGTGGGTCAAATATAGAATTTATAATTAATCTTGTGATTAATAAAATTCTATTGTGATTAACTTGGTATAAGTTAATGTTAGTAGTTTAAAGCATGTTAATTGTATGTTAGCATTACTTTATATTTTAATGGAAGATCAAGTTTAATAAAATTATTAACTTGTTATATGATTGTGAAATAATATATATATGTTCAATGATTATTTAACATATGATTATTTTGGTGGACTTGTGCTTATGTTAAACATGTTATCATGTTGCAAGTCATAGCATGCTAGTTGTGTAAATTGATGTGCTCTTTAGGTGTTTGATTAAATGCCTAGGTGAATACAAGTATGTTAGTTGAGTTGATTATCTTACATAACATGCTTGAGATCGTGTTAAAATGTCATTATATTGTATTCATTATGTAATAGACATTGTATTTCATTATGCATGGGTTGCACTACATTCATGGGCATTGACATGGGTGAGAGTGTATGCATGGTATGAAATCAATCACCACGTAGGTGGTTGAACGTGGACTCGGAAAAGTCGCACCAAGGTTCGGTTGAGTCGCACGAGAAATTAAATGGATAAATGTGTTGGGGACAGCACGAAGGGCTAGATTCTCCCTCGGGTGCAAGACCCGCTTACTTGGTTTATACACTTTCCGGCGGTGAAATTCCAAAAAAGTGTAACGGCGGAAACGGAGCCGCAGGTGGGATGTCCTGAAGATCCGTTGATGGTTGGTGTCCCATTGGTGTAATACCATAAATCATCTCCCCACAAAGACACAAGAAAATGAATTAATTAGCATTGAGTGTACATAACACCAATGATGGGGGCTTGGAATGCTCGGATACATACGCATGACATTGCATGTGTTATGGGAGCTCAGGATGGGGCTCGGGGTTGGTATTGCTTGCGTGAGTCTCATCTCATGGCATGACATGATCTATAACATTCAATCATAATAGACATATTTAAATGAATGTATCAAATGATCGTTGCATGTGACATTCCATATTCATTTAGGTTGAGAGGTATTCTCTATAGGAGTTACCCTATTGAGCGTTAGCTCACCCTTTATGGGAACATTTTTCAGGTATCGCACAGGCTTCCACCGAAGGCGAGGCCATGGGCCCGCTTTGACGACAGAGCCGGTCTGTGGCTTTTATTTTGACATTGTAGTCCCTTGTTTATACTTACTTTTGGCCTTGTATAATTTTTGTAACAAACATTGTTTATATTTACAAAGGCATGTATATGGGACTCTTTTGGGACATTTATTCTTTTACGAATAAATGTATGTACTGATAATGATTATGGTAGTATTCGAGACTATATAATTGTGAATGGATAGATAGACCCGGTGTGGTCAATGTTGTACAGGTTGCGTTTTGAGTAGAGCTCCTTGTACAAAGGAGACTCTGTCCAAATTTTGTTAAGTTATGGATCCCAAGAAATGGGGCATAACGGTGTGGTATCAAATTACACGATATCCACCAGTATTACACAGTCGATGGATAACCAATCGGATAATTACAGACACCCGGACTTTGGGGTGTCACAGAAACTCAAAGATTTCATTCTTTCCCAGAGCTCTCATCTCTTATACCAGGACTGCTCTCCATTTAGGCTCTACAAGGACTTTAAATCCATCTCTGAGGAAGAGATATAGAAGACAAAGACAAAACAAAAACATGATAGGAGAAAGACAAAGAGTCATAAGAAAAATTTAGTCCGAACTCTCTGTCAAATAGCAATAGGTAAAACACAATAATCAACGGGATTATTACAAGAAAGCGCATTACTTGATGTAGAGGAAGATGTATCTAGAATTGAGTCAAGATGATGACTAACTGAATGGCTTATGGGTGATGATCTACTTAGTTTCTTGTTGAGTATAGTATCGCAAATTATCCCTATCTAATCTTTCACAAGTAGTTTGTTCCCCCTGAATAGGTGTTTCTCCTTGAAACTCCCCCTCACTATGTCTCTTTCCCCGACTTAAGCACTAATTGGGAGATAAGAGAAGGAATTCATCCTCTAACATCTCTTTTTCAACACCCTACCTACCCCCCTTGAAGAGATGAAGGAAATGTACAGAAATACAACTGTCTCATGAAACGTAATATACATACTAACATACACCTTTCGAGACTGAGGATGATATCACTTATGCCTTTTCTGGGTAATTGAGTACTCAATAAAGATACACCGCAGTGCCTTTGAATCTAACTTTCCCTTGGTCCTTCAATAATTATGTACAAAACACACATAACCAAACACCTTTAGAGGAATAGAACAAAGAAAAATTGACCCTTGGACCAACTCTATAAGAGTGAAAAAATCAAGAACTTTCAAAGGCATCTGATTAATGATATATGCGGTAGTAAAAACTGCATCTCCCTCCTCAAAAAGACAAAAGGACACCCATAGTAAACATCAAGAAGAGCGCCACTTCAAAAAGATGTCGATTCTTCCTCTTAGCTACACTGCTTTGCTGAGGTGTATATACACAACTAGATTAGTGGAGAATTCTATATTTCTTATCCATTAAAGTACTCAGTTCTATTTTCAATACTGAGAACCTCAATTTTGGCATCAAACTGAATATTTATCAACATATAAAAATTCTTGAAATAAATAAACATTTCATCATTACTATGCAACAAATAAACACAAGCAACCAAAGTGTAGTAGTCAATGAAGGTAACAAACTATTGATATCCAGTAAGAGAAATAACATGAGATAGTTCCCACACATCATAATGAACAATTATAAAAGGATCAATGCTTCAATTATTATTATTAGGATAAGAAATTCTTGTATACTTGGCAAATTCGCAAACATCACAAAGAAAATTGCCTTTATTATATTGGTTCACCAAAGCAAGAAAAAAATTATCTAATACTCCTATTGATGGATAATCAAGTCTTCGATGCCATTGATGTAACTATTGAAGAGCCACCGTACTAGCAGCTTGAAATGCCTAATGAGGTTGACCCTCCAACAGATACAAACCACTAAGAGCTTTACCATTGCCATCGTTCTCCCCATTCCCAGTTCCAGAAGGATAAAATGAGAGGAGAAGAATGTTATAATACAATTTAGAGACTTTCTAATGTTACTGGTTAAGAGTAAATTAGTAGAAAAGTTATGGACATGAAGAACTGAAGACAAAGACATATAAGGAGAGCAATGAATGAAATATTTTGCAGATACAAATGACAATGAGTCATATGTTACCCTAATTTTATCTCTACCGCAATATTTGAAATAAGAAGAGAAAAGACTCGACGAACCTATCATATGGTCATTCTTATTTTGAACCTTAATCTTATAAAGCTACATGTACTCATCCTAATTAAATTAATTTAATGCACGATGAATTGACAGCTCTTGATAAGGCTAGTACTTGAGATTGTTTCTTTGCCTAGAGTTAATAATATTGTTGGTTGTAAATGAATATACAAGGCTAAGACTCATTCTGATGGCTCCCTTGAGCGTTATAAAATTCTGTTAGTTTTTAAGGATTTTCTCAAAAATATGGTGTTGACTATTAGTTTCTAAACTTTTGAACTTGACGTTAAAAATATATTTTTGAATTGGTATCTCAATGAGGAGGTTTAGATGCATCCACCTTGGTCTTTCTCATCTTACTAGTTATGCCTGGCGCTTGCGTCGGCCACAGAGCCTAGTATAAACATTTTCAATTTGTTGTTATTTAGTTTGGTTTTGTTCTTGGTGCTCATGATCTTGCTTTATTTGTTCATTGTTCTACCCATGGATTAGTCCTCCTACTATATGAGTATGAGATGAAGAATTTGGGTCCTCAGCGTTATTTATTGGGTATTTACGTTGCCTCGTCTACTAAAGATTACCTTTTATTTGCTGATGAGCTTATTTACCGCGCCCACTGAACAGAACTGATGATAAGTTCTGATGGTGTTCTTCTTGCTGATCCTACATTGTATTGTGAATTGGTTGATTGTTTGATTTATCTTACTATTAGTCAACTGTTACTATCCCAAATATTATATATGCAGTTCCTACTATTAGTCAATTTGTCTCTGCTCCTCGTACTACTCATTGGGTTGTCTTACTTCGTATTTCGCAACATCATATATTAGAGCTTATTATTGTTGTCGACCTCCTCTTTGACTTTACATACATATGTCAATACTAATTGGGCTGGGGATAGTACGAATCACCAGTCTACCATTAGGTTGTGTTTTTTTTGGTGGTTCTCTTATTTCTTAGAAAAGTAATAAACAATCAGTTATTGTTCATTCTACTGTTGAGACAAAGTATCACGGTATAGCACATACTTCTGCGAAAATAGTTTAGCTTTGTTGACTTATACTGATATGGGTGTTGTTCTATTCTCTCCGACTCTTTTTTACTGTGACAATAAAAGTGCTATCCATATGGCTTACAATTCAGAATTTCATGAGCGCACGAAACATATTATAATTGATTGTCATTTATTTGTTAAGATCTTCAGTTGGGGACTAGAATCTTCATCGCTACAGCTTGCTATTTTTTCAAATAAGAATTGAAAACGAGCTGAAGTGTCAGACTTGGTGAAAAAAATCTGCAAGAAATATCAAATAAGATACAAATCGTAAAATAATAGTGTCCAACTAAAGATATTAATGAACATATTTATCTTTTGGGGAAATATATATATACTTATAATCTGGTTTACTGACTTGCGAGAAAGTATTGTTTGCACCCAATAAAACTTTCAGTCAAAGCCCTTATTTTTTTCTTTCGTGGTTTTCTGGAAAACATCGGCGTCCTATCAATGTTCCACTCTCATTTTTCATAAAATAAGGATTCAAGAGATAAATGCATGCCTCAGTAAGTCAGTAATGTACAAATGATAATTGCTTTGGAGATAATGCCATTGTATGGTTTTTCAGTTATTTAGTTTAGCTAAAACAACATAGCGATAGAATTCAGATGTTATACCAGTGGGTTTAGAAGTATCTGACATTGAAACTGAATCTTCAGTCCATGTAGGATAAAGCAACTGTTGACGAAGTGTTCCCAAAACCATATATGGTCTCTGAGGAAGGAAAAATACACTTGTTGAATTTCCACATATGGGTCTTCCAAAGTCCCAATATACATCATCTGAGGCAGTTACTACACAAGGAGCCACATCTACAGGTAACGGTGGTTCAGGATCTTTTGCATTTTTCACATAGAATCTGATTACTCCACTCCCAGTACTCCAAAGACCAGCAATAGCTCTTAATAATGATGTTTTACCACTCCCACTTGGTCCCATAACCTGTTAATGCAACCATACACCAGCTATTATCTCACCCAGCACTTGCTTACCAGCTTAGCATTACACTACGATAACAAATAAACAGAACCTAACCAGCAAATGATCCTTCTCAAAAATCTCTAATGATAAGTCCCTGATAAGCATTGCTTTACTTGCTGGTGTCAGTAGGGTCAAACTCTCAATAGCCAGTAACATTCTACAGTTGCCAATGGGTACAGATCCATTAGAGTTCAAGAAAGTTGAATTTTCTATATCACAATATCTAAGATGAATCTCTTTTGAAGGACCAGATAGACTTTTACGGTTACTGGTATCCAAAACATCATCAAATTCCCCTGCATATTTGAAAGATGCCAACATTTTAGCAGATATTCAGATGGCTGTTAAATTAAATGGCATCCAACAAAAAAAGATCCCTATGGTCAGCATGATAAAAGCAGCATGGTTTGTGAAAGAAAATTATAACAGGAGATGAGAATTGAACTCAAAATGTTCTTATTAAACAAAAAAAAAAAAAGTATTCAGAAACATGCAGATTTACCAAACTCAGGTCCTCAACCATACTTCCAAATGCTATATTTAGAAACAAGCTAGCAACCCATTAGACAAATTCAGGAAGAAAGTGTGGCATGTAGATAGAATTTTATTCAGAGATTTGAACAACTGATGCACCCCACCAATAGGCGCCAAATAGAACTATTTGATGGCCTAGGAATAGTGGAGTGAATATAAAGTTATAAACATGAGAAACATATTTAGCAGTCGTTTTCATCCATACCAAAACAAAAAATTCTTCATTCCCCTTGTGCATGACACCATTGTCAGTCACACTTCTTTAGAGAATGTACATTTTGAAAATATTTTATCGGTGAATACAACTTCTCATCTTCCTTTAGTATAGGAGCTCGGAGAAACCAAAACAGTTAATAAATGAATACAGGGCCCCAAGCATGAGGAAGTTACAGTCCTATGTAATATTACAGTAAAAAACACATACCCTCATATACATACCCATGCACACCAATACATGTGCACACACACAAAAAAGAGACAAAACTACATCTAAAGATACAGTTACATAAGTTTCAAACCTTCAATATAATTATTAAGGAGATGCAAAGGTTGGAACAAGAAAATATCTGTTATTCAAAGTGAGTCGAAAAGCAGTTCACATTTTTCATACCATACAAAATCTCCTTGAAAGTAACAGGTACCACCTCTAGCTTATCTGATATTTGTTGCCCTCCATATAAAAACTGAAGCAAATACAAGCGATAAACAAGAATGCAGATTGTTTCCAGCCGAATAAAATAAATGAATCAAAGAATCATACAGACACTTAAAAATAGAGGCAAAAGATGGCATCATTTGAAGTCGAAATCAAATAATCTGCACCAAATTCAACAAGGCCTTGCTTGATGCAGTGGTAAAAACTTTGGTTAACAAGCATAAGAACGGGGTTAGGACAATATCTGATCTTCTCCTCATTGAAACTTGCATTGGCACTATCACTACTGCAAATTCCACTTGTAGGAAAACCTCCAAGGATTTTGTATTCCATGAGCTTTGTTCCAATTACTTGAGATCAACCGTACATTCAGATGAATTATAGGCAACTATATCTTTCTCAATTACCTGACTACATCAATTGTGGTTTTCCCTTCCACTAGAATTATTGTTTTCAAAGATCAAGTATAAGCAAATGTTCAACCAAAGAGCTCAAGTAGCAATGAAAATGAATGAAGTTCAAAGGGTTATTTTAAGCCATTTCCTCATTCGTAGCTAGAGTGCAGTAAGATTCACTACCCTGGCTGCTGAGCCCCCTTCCTCTATATGCACCTAGAATCAGACGTTGGCACCGATTCTATGGCCCAAAGGTTGCTATTGAACATGCCAGGAGCAAACTCGGGATTCCTATTGGCTTAAAACACAGTGGGCTGCTTCTTTTTACCGGCAAGCCTAGCTCTCGTCATGTAGCTGTCAATAGCCTGTCCACAGCAGTCATCAAACTATACAAGACATGTGTGTTTTGGACATCAAAACAAGAGGCTCCCGAGTGTAGTTCACCAAACATCGATAGATTCGTCGAAATAATCCTATCTTATCAAGTCAAATAACAAATAATCCATGGTGGAATTAAGGAAGTGCACTTTTGCAAAATAAACTCATTGATATTAAGAACAGAACATGTACCAGACAATATGTTTGTTTCACATAATTGTAACTTTATAAGTACCAAGTTGGAACAATACATAGCAACAAATGACTACAAAATTTAAGCAGGCAATTTCTCGAACATTTTATTCCAAAATTTTGTCCAGGGATTACCATCTTTTTTATGGCCCTTTCCCTTGTCTACCAATCATTATATTCAAGTATTCAACAACAAAAATAAACATTTAAACATTCCCAAATGCCATTGACGAGGCATGCTGTGGAAAGGACCGCCTTAACAAGGAGAGTAGTGGAGAAGAAAACGAAAGCAAGAGAGGTCACTGAGGTTAAAGTTCAACCTTCACGTGGGCCAGAGCCACAGAGGAGTATTAGGAAAGTGCAGAGGTAATTTGGCCATAAGCATCTGTGTAATCGTACATCATAACCCTATTGTAACCCTAACTTGTTATGTTTTATTTTGTTGTTCTTTAAACTCATATTTTAATTTGTTACAATTTTAATTTTTTACAGGATGCAAATATGCAAAAATTAGCTTTTATTATTCATGACCATTTGCCAGTACAGTATCTTGAATATGATTTGTTTGAAACTCTTATACAAAATATGAAGAAAATATTAGTTAACTATGTGTGTATAAGTTACAAAACCAACCACAAAGCATGGGTGCACTAGCAAATTTACAAATGATCCATGAAAACAACATGTCTGCCAAGCAGAAAATGAATTTATGCTTGCTGCAAACACTGACTGGTCTTCTCTTCCTTTCCATAGAATCCCCAAATTAAATGGATCAAGATGCTGTTTCAGATGGCATTATATGAGATTAGCAAGTTTCTCACAATAATTTTTTCACTTGGAGATATATCAGAGAAGCAATCTGAAAGAGGACAAGACAAGGTACCTAGTCGGTTTATGACAGCTGAAAAGGCACTGATTGCCTGAAATTGGTACACAACGACTGAGAAATCTCCAAGAATATGATTGAAAGCAGATACGGATTGATTTATGACACCAAATTCAATTTTTCCGGAGAAGTACATGGGTGCAACAACTGCAGCAGGAAGAATCAGAATCAGATAGCGATAGCCATTGGTGAAGAACTCCAGATTTCTGGAAGATATCAACAATTGCTGTGGAAGTAAAGATGTTGGTGAGTCTAAACAATAATAAAACAAGACATTATCAAAATGTGTATGACCACGCAAAATGTCCAAATATACAACCACATGCATGCAAAAACATTTATAAGAATATTCAAGGAAAATACAAACTCAACATAATCTCAATATCAATGCCACAGACATTCAAATAAGTAAATAACCCAAGGTTCAATGCCAATTGAACAATATTCAGACAACTCAAAAAGTACAAAAACACATCCAACTTTTTATTGCTTAAGAAGTTTCCAGGTGGAAGACTTTTTTCTCTCTTCTATTTTACAGTAGGGACTTGGATCTTACAATCAACCAAGTCTGAGACATCTCAGCCAAGTTGACTCGAGAACAAAGGGGGCTCAAACACTATATCAACTCACTGTAACATAAGCAGATATCTACTTTTAGCTCCAAACTAAACCATAACTTCTCCATTAAAAGACACCCAAGGAGATAAAAAACCAATCTTAACCCTACCTTTCAAGATTTGGAAATCACAAATTGTAGTTTCAGAAGATGGTAACAATCAAAGGTTTTTATTTTGGAAGCTATTTGCTTTGGCAGTCTAGAAAAGTATTTGCTGCAAGTGAGGGAAATGATTAGACATATGCCAGGCAGAAGTATTGGCCCAATATCTGCTGGTCCCTCAAACATTTTTAGAGTGCCCCAGTTCTCAGCAAATCCACTATCCACTCATCTCAATACATTCTCCATTTAATGACCTGTAATCACTTCTCAATTGCAAACTAAAATGCTTCTCTAAAACTCATACATTCTAAGCAACCCCCACTCCATGAACTTTATGTCTCCCTGATTCCTTTTGATGGGGTTCACAGAGGGTTTAGATAACATGTCAAATTGAGGATTAGATTTTAGGTTTAATTCCATATTTTTTTGGCTTTATTTAGAAGTTTAAAGATTGCTTTCTTCTATGTATTCAGACAGCTAGTAAATGCCCAGTGTATTGGACTGTTAGTTTTGACAAAGGAATCTAATTACAGCCTTGAAGTTTTCTCCCTATGCTCTCTCAGTTGTCTCTTGCTCTCCTCCTCCTCATTTCTTCTTCTCTCCTTGCCCTTCTCTTTCTTATTCTGCCATTCTTCCTTCCGTTCTCTTTCCCTTCTTCTTTCCTCTCTTTCTCCTTATTTATTCTCTCTGTTGATCTCTGTCCTACTATTGATGGATTACATTCCCTTATATCACATGGTCTCTAAATTCCAAGTTCAAATGCTCATAGGATTTTCACAATTATTTTCAAAGGTGGTCCCCACTGTTACATGCAATTTTCACAATCTAATTAGTGCCCAAGCCCATATCAACATTTTGTCATGTTTAGGCGATCACCCCAATGTTTAAGATAACCTCAAGTGATCAGTTGGGTCTGAAGTCCCAGAAGGTCTATGGCATGCTTTTATGGGATCAGTGTCACAAAAGTGGTTTAGTCTTGAAAGTTTTAAAACCTCTTTGCATGGTGTTCCATAAAACAAAATCGTGGAAATCAGCCATGTTAAATACAATAGTTTGGAGGCTTTGTCCTTATCCATCTCAATTCCTATTTCCCAGCATTTCACAGAATGGCGGAAATGTTATATAGCGCAAGCTAACTAGTTCAACTCAAAAAATATCACTT